ACTGTCTGGGTGACATGTGGGCCTATAAAACCAAGTGCAATCGTTTCTAGTACCTGCCACCGAAACAAGGGTGCAAAACAGAGGCAGACCTTTAAAACGCCAGTGTGGGGTTTGTTACCCAGGACCCTGATGACGCAGTAAGATGCTGTATTGTCCCAGGACACAAAGCCTTCTATTTAGGTGTGGGGTAATCACAGAGTGTCCGGCTGGGCTAGAGGAATTCCTCGGCCTCACGCGGATCCGCCTGCCTAATCTAGTCCTGGATGGGAGGGGAGGAAGTTGCTTGGTGGTCCCTCTCTTTAGCAACATAATTTATGACCAACCAGAGGTCTGGCTCTACCATTGCAGATGTAGGGAGAGGAGGAGAGACATTACGGAAACAAAGAAGAGGGTGTGCGACTTTAAACTATGATTGGTGATGGTTTGACATGCAATCAGTGTGTAAACATTTAACTACTATGCTAGTGGTTCAGCTCCGGAAAGGACAACTGAAAATGTCTGAATAAATTCCCAGTAAATATTAACATGTCAAATCAAGTGCATATATTTTAAAGTAGCACATGAATACTTTTTTTTGACAAAAATTGTAATTAATGCAATGTAATCCATGCATTTTAAACTGTGACCAAACTATTTGAGGCCAATGTAATCATACACTGAATTTCTAAACAGTGTATTCCACTCAAAAAATGTCATCAATTTTGACAGAGAAAAATCAAATAACACATTGAACTAAACATGAAATTTAGAAAGACTTCAAATATTTTGTTTTAAAACAAACAAACTTTTTTTTTATTGTATACACTGTTCAAAAAGTTTGGGGTGAGTAAGATGTATTATGAAATATTAAAACTTTTATTCAGGAAGGACACAATCGAATGATCAAACATGACAGTAAAGACATTTATAATGTTACAAAAGGTTTATATTTCAAATAAATGCTGTTCATTCAGCTTTCTATTCATCAACGAATCCATCCTGAAAAAAATGTATCATGATTTCCACAAAAAAAAAAACATTAAAGGGGTCATATGATGCTGCTAAAAAGAACATTATTTTGTGTATTTGGTGTAATGAAATGTGTTTATGCGGTTTAAAGTTAAAAAAACACATTATTTTCCACATACTGTACATTATTGTTTCTCCCTCCTGCCCCGCCTTTTTGAAACGCGTCGATTTTTACAAAACAGCTTTACTTTCACAACGAAGCACACAGCGTCTTCAGAACATGGCGGCAGCGGCAACAATACTACAGTGAGAATAAAAGTTACGCCTTCTTTCTTTGCGTGAACATTTGGGCGGCGTTATGCAAATCTTCCCACATAGTGAGGTAGATATGTGGGGGCGTGTTCGAACGAGCCGTTTTAGGTAGGTGTGGCTAACTCTTAACTTTTATAAAGAATATCTCTTTGGATTTGAGACTTTAGTCTTTGCAACTTTACAGATCTTCTTTATGCACCAAGAGCTTGTAACACTCTAAAGAGAAAGGAAAAAATGAAATCGCATCATATGACCCCTTTAAGCAGCACAACTATTTTCAACATTGATATTAATAAGAAATGTTTTTTGAGCACTAAATCAGCATTTTAGAATGATTTCTGAAGCATCACGTGACACTGAAGACTGGAGAAATGATGCTGAAAATTCAGCTTTGAATAATTTACATTTTAAAATATATTTAAATGGAAAACGGTTATTTTAAATGGCAATAATATTTCACGATATTACTGTTTTTACTTTATTTTTGATCAAATAAATGCAGCCTTGATGAGCGGAAGAAATAAATTTTTTTACCCCAAACTTTTGAACGATTGTGTAATGAATAACCATTGATGAGATCAGAAATGTTATATTAACAGAGGATGATCATTTCTTGACTGAACAGGAATCTCCTCCTCAGTACTACAACAGCAGACAGACTCTCGTAGCGTCATCTGATGCTGAGCAAACACATGACACCGGTCTTGATAACGTGAATGCACGGGTAAGAGCTTTTTTTAAATGAATGAATCTGCATCCTTTACCCATAATTATATCTGCCTTCATTTACTCACCTTCACGTCGTTATAAACCTGTATGACCAATAGGCATCAAAATACTTTTCTTCTATGTATTTTCTAGAAGAAAGAACAGCATGCAGGTTTGAAACAACATGAGGGTGAAACTGTCTAGAAATAGTCACATATTCATGTTTTGTTTCTGCTTGTGCTTGACAGTCGGGCTCGTTGTTCCTCATTGGTGTCCCGAGCAGCTACTACCTTTCCTCACTGGAGCCTCCTCTTCCTCGTCTGCCCTCGTACGAGAGCGTCCGCAAGAAAGACCGACAGCGGCAGATCCACATGATGATAGCCGACCGCTTTGGCCTGAACGGACCTGTTGAGACAGAGGTGATTCATTTAGCTGCAGTAACAGTATTAATCTACAAATGACCGGTTGGCATGACATGCCATTTAACTGTCCTCAAAGTACAAAGCTGAATAGAAATAAACATAGATAATCATCGAATTATCAAAAATTTTATTTAATTAAATTAAAGTCTGTATATTTTCAAATATGACTGGTCATGCGTTTCCATACTATTTTCAAATGTAAACAGTTCTATACAGTTGAATGTCACTTGTTGGGTACTTCAGATCTGAAAAGTATATTTAAATACTTGCAGATAATATAACATTAATGAAATAAGTTCACTTAAAGAGAGACACATTCATGACAGTTACCTAATAAAGCCGGGCTCACACTACAGGAGTTTTAAAATCCTAACCGATTATGAAATCTGGTTGCAGCACACACATAAGGAGAATCTTTGCAGATTATCTTCCCTCAAATCTTAAACATGCACACACTACAAGATTTTAACATCGTGGCGCATCACACACTACAAGATATTATTAAGATTATCATGCCAGTCGTCACCGATAGCCTCGTGGGCAGCGTGTCGACATGTAGCGCCATTGCGCTTCGGGCGTCCCGTGTTCGAGTCCAGGCTCGTGGACCTTTCCCGATCCCATTCCCCTTTGCTTCCTGTCTCGCTACTATCCTATCAGTATCAATAAAAGGCAAAAACGCCAAAAAATAAATCTTTAAAGATTATCATGCCAGAGGGAGCGCCTCACGTGATCTCACGCAGCAGATCGTCATTGATATTTCAGTGATGTTTACATATGTTAGCTAGCGTGCTAGTTGCTTTCTACACTCACCCGGTACATTCAAAACTGAGGCGATTTCACTCCAGCGCTTCTCTTTCTCCTTACGGTTGTGATGCGTTTTCGACACATTATACAGGCAGTCGTGTTACTATAAAACGTCAAGAAGCAGTTTTCTCCGTCTCCACTATCCAGCGGGGCCGTACAGCTGCTGTTGGTCGTGCATTGGCTATTGTGAAAGTACTGAGGTAATCATATAGCCGTCATCATCCCGATTTAAATCCTAAATATCAAACATGTTTGATATGATCGGGGGCGGCCCTGATTTGTGTGCGAGCAGATCGAGAGTTGCAAGATTCGATCTGTGAACGCCTCACATTACCAGATAATCCGCGCCGAACATCGGGACCGATCGAGGGGCTCGACAAGATTTTTGCTCCGATTCTCGGGAGGGGGAAATCGGGCTAAAAATCCTATAGTGTGAGCCAGGCTTAACATACTAAAGCACATGTAAAGTACTTCATTATTATTTATCTATAGTGTGTATTTTATCTATTAGTTATTCAATATATATATATATATCAAGTTGATATTATTTAAATGTACTAAACTGCATTTTCATCATTATAAATGTGTAATTTCAAATATATTTAAATACATTACATTGGCATTTCAATAGAAAATATATTTTAGTTCACCATAAATGCTTGTCAGTACATTCAGCAGTCACTTTAACCATATTTCAAAAAGACAATTGAAGTAATTATAAAATTACATATAAATATGTACTTAAGTCCTACTTAAGTGAGTCAAGAAAACACTCTAAAGTTAATTGCATTTAATACAGATTTTCACTATAATACACTTAACATGCAATTAAGTGTCTGAAAACATAGCATTCAATTTGCAGTTAAGCATATTATTTCCATAATAAGTGCTTTTTAAAAAGTATGCTTCTTCACAAGGGATGAGTGATTCTAAATCCATTTAAAATGAGCAAGAAAAAGGGTCAAACCTGCATGTGTGGCTGCAGCATGGAAGTGTAACAATGTGGTAAAATAGTGGATTATCTTTAAAAGCTCTTTAAAGCATTTTTTTTTCTATTATAGTTTTTGTACATGCAGCTTTCGTGACCTCATTAGACTAGATTAAGTTAATTACTTTACTGAAAAATTGATGATGACTTCTAAAAGCATACACTTGTACACGTATTCAAATTTGAACATAAAATCGTCACGATGGAAAAGAAAGTTCACATCAGTCTGTCAACCACTCAAAGCTCACAGATGTCACTTTACTAAAGCCCTGCTATAACAGTTTCGTCTCTCAGCAGCTGCGGTCTGACTGAATTAAATAACAAAAGATTTTTAATATGAATGACCCACAATTTTCTGTTCCGTAACATGATCATATCTGAGAAACGGACGGCATTCATGTCCCTCACCTGCACTGCTGCCGTGACGTGGCCCTGTGATGTTCACTTAGCGCCAGGAAAACGCATGAGTACACCCGCTAATGGGAATTAATGCACATCAAACATAATAAAGTGGCTTATTTTGAAAGGTAAACATTAGTGGACAATACGGCTCATTGTCTGTCTGTCCTCTCCTTTACTCCCCAGGATTCACTGGGTGGATCATTCACTCATTAACCATATTATTGAGCTTAATTAGCTTGTTCTCCAGCTGGGCGCCACGGTTTTGTCTGCTTTAAAATGGCAGTTTTTTTTAGATGGCTAAAGGGCAGACGTGGAGCTCAAAGCTTAAGAGAAAGAAGAAAGAAAGAGAGATAAAATGGCAAGAGGAAGTTGCTGCAAGGTAGAAGCCGAGCAGTGATATCGCCAGCTAAATTTGTTTAAATAAATGTCGAGCTCTGTATTATGAATTAACACAGTGCAGAGGTCTTTATCTTTGGGAATGTATTCACTTGATAAGCATTAGCAATGTTAAATAATAATAAAATTGTAACACAGTTCGTAGTCACGGGAAGAAGGAGGCGGGAACCGGCGAACACTTAAACAAAACTTTAATAATAAAATAAACACAAAATAGCACGACAGCCCCTCGCGGACGACTATCGCGCACAAACATAACCAAAACACAAAATAAAATCCAGGCCTGGTCCTCTCTCGTCCAACACTGTCGTCACTCCTCCTTTTATCCTTCCGGAGCTCCTCCGTGGGACTCAAGACCGGTGAGTGATGCAGGTGTCGTGCATTAGCATTTACTCCACCGGCCTCGCTCCGTTCCCACGGCTCTCGGCCCCGTCCCACTCGTCACAAAAATCATATGAGGAAACTAGATTTTTATGTTTTCTACTGGATATTTTCTCAAGAAATTATGCTAGTGTGTTGTGGACGGTTGTCAGGCCATTGCTTAAAGCGATAGTTCAGCCAAAAATGAAAATTCTGAAATATTCTCAGATCAAACACAGTTTACAAGTGAAACAAATATTTTATCAGCTGTTTGGATTTTCATTCTGACGGCACCCATTCACTGCAGAGGATCCACTTTTATTTTTTCAAATCTGTTCTGAAGAAACACACATCTACATCTTGTATGGCCTGAGGGTGAGTATTTTCAATGTGAGTACTTTCAGCAAATTTTCATTTTTGGGTAAACTATTCCTTTAAGAGAATAGAGGAGTCCTGACACAAATTATAACTAAACTGACATTTTGGTTAAACACCAAAAAATGTGACATAAGCAAAATCACTTTTGGAGAAGTGCGCCTAAGCTATTTTTGTAATGCAAGCTGTTCATTTGTGGTGTCACACGTGTGGTTTAAGTCAAGCTTTATCTCTGTTTTTTGTTTTTGAACACAGCCGCCTCCCACATATGAGGAGAGCATTCGTGAGTCCGTCCAGTCCATTGACGTCCCGTTTGACATCCTGGCACCCGAGGAGGAGCCGCCACACACACCGGTTACAGATTTACCTGCATATGAAGATCTACCTCAAATCACAGACTCACAAGATCCCAATAACACTGTTAACTAAAGCGCAAGAATGCAAACTGTCCATAGCAGGAAATCAACAGCTGTTGAGCTGTGACTACCCTGACGAGCAGCCGACGTGTGCGTGAATCCGCTGTGCTTGCAAAAGACACCAAAATAGGGTAGGACTTGACCTATGCAATAACTTGCACTAGCACAATACGAGAGGAGAAGGATGTTGCATCACTACTGGAAAAAGGGAAGAGAAGAACAAGAATATGCAAGAGTTTAAGTTCTGTCTCTGTTAAAAATGACATGAAACTGCTACTATATAGAATTATACTGACTGTAGATATTGCCATGACTTTTCCAAGCCTAAAAAATTTAAACATTACATCACATTCCATGATATTATTACATTTATACATAAGTGGGGAATGTTGATTTCATTTTGATTATAAAAAGTGACGTAAGCTATGAAAGCAAATGTTTTTTTTTGCAATAACATCCATTTATGAATGGTTCAAAATAACACTAGTGACATTTATTACCCATAAATAAAGTCTATTTTGATTTCATGTTTAATTTTCCACAGAGATGGCAGGTTCATCTAATACCAAAGTAGCAGCTGGTGTACTGTACTGACCTATAAGCACAAAAAAGGGATATTTGAAGCCATGTTTTGGACATTACAGGGATGATTCTTTTATTACCGTTTCATCATATGTAATCATGTGCTTTTGCATGAGAGTTACTAGAACAAATTTGATCACTATTTTAGACAGAGAGAATGGAAATTAGTTTGAATTCAAGTCATTTTGTTCAGTCTACATGTTCCTTGTCAAACCAAATGACGCTTTGCTGAAATTCTATTTGTCGAATCTCTCTTCTTGAATGACCGTTTATGAATGTGCTCAATTTTATCACTGTGAATAAAGATGTTAAATGTACAGTTTGCAAAAGTAATACTAGACTTGGACTTGTTTCTTCTGATGGTGTGCTCAGGATTGGGTCACACTAAATCATCTGTTTTTTCCCTTTACTGTAAATACAGTACTCAGAGCATATGCTTTCAGATGTTTGCATTCACAAACAAAATTCAAATTCGAAGCAGTTTCATGTGTAACAAGTTGAGGCCACAGCCTGTGTCCTCATTTCCCTCTGAACACACATTTGCATCTTTCAAAAGCTACATGAGAAATATTTTCCTTAGGGCACAAGAATTAAGCTGGTATGAGAGGTTGTGCTGCGCTGTGATATAGTCACGGCTAAATGGAACTGTGCAGTGATTATGGTGAACATGTGTTTCGCATCTTACCTGTTACTATATTATATATTTTAGTATTGACAGTATTGACCAATCAGTGGGCATGAATCAACAGGACATCCACTCAAATGATTAACCCACATGGGATTCACAGGTCTAATAAAACTGAATGTACACTGCCGTTCAAAAGTTTGGGGTCAGTAAGAATTTACTTGAAAGAAATTATTACTTTTATTCACCAAAGATGCATTTATTTGATCAAAATTGACAGTAAAGACATATGAAGCATAACGTGACAATTGTTTTCTATTTCAAATAAAAATTGAAAACTCTTTATCAAAAAATCCTGAATGCATCATGTTTTCCACAAAAATATGAAACAGCACAACTGTTTTCAACACCGATAAACACTAATTACTGTTTGTTGAGCAGCAAATCAGCATAATATAATGATTTCTGAAAGATCATGTTGCACTGAAGACTGGAGTGATGATGCTGAAAATTCAGTTTTACATCACAGGAATAAATTACATCTTAAAATATATTCCCATAGAAAACAGTTACTTTAAATTGTAATCATATTTAGCAATATTACTGTTTTTACTGTGTCTTTAAAAAAAAACGCAGCATTGGTGAGCATAAGAGACTCCTTTCAAAAACATTTTACAAACTTTTTTAATGGTAGTGTAAATTCAACTAGAATTTTTTTAATGTGCTGTTTTAATTTAATATTGACCAGTCCTTTAAATATTAACATACTTGACTGGTTGATTACTATTAGCATCATGTCTATATGAAACATAGGCTAAATACTTCATACTGAAAGGCTGTATATCAGTTTATGTATGTATGTATTTGTATATATATATATATATATATATATATATATATATGTGTGTGTG